CTGGTTGTAACAGCTGGGGTTTTATGTGGCCATCGGACCCTGAGTGAATTAGTGTGTTTCTATGTCCTGCTCAAATGTGTAGCAGTGGCCATGATGTGTATTACATGTTTTGTATCACTTTCTGTGTCCACTTGGTGCTGGGGCTTGAGCACCCAACCTTATGATCAGTATGTGTGAACAAGTGTCGCAGCTGTTTGTGAGGTGTGAACTTACATGATGAGAGCAGGGTTTGGATCCAGGAGGAAACGCAAAGGGCAGATGTAATGTCCGATGAGGAGGAACCATCCTCTTCCTCTTCAGCACTGTGTTGAGCCAGTGGGCGGTCACACAGCGCTTCCCTTCTCTCAGTGCCTGACAGAGGAAAAGGTTTTTTGTTAAAGTGAACTAAATCAAGGAGCACAAGAGCACTACACTCATTTCACTGTTCATCCAGACTCCTCCTTCTGCTCCTCCTACTGCATTACAATGCGTGATATACAGCAGCAGAGTATTTTGCACAGTTTAATTAGAAATGGGTATCGTTAAGATTTAAACTGTCCTACTACTTGTACTAATACTGCTTATCAATCTGGTACTCTAACAGTCCTCTTATGAGTACTTCTGTTATTTCTTTAAGATAAGAAAAAGAAAGTGGTTGGTTCCACCCCTTGCGCACATAAGCAATAAGAGAGAGAGAGAAAGACGTCTACTTTGGATTGGAAATTCAAGAGTCAATAGTTGATTCAAGAGTTGATAAGATAAAATGTGCAAAGTAACTTGTATGTTGCAATAACAGGAAAATTATTTTCTTAATTTCTCCAATATAGCAGAACTGTTAATGTCTAAGCTTACTGATTCCCTGATCTTTAAGAATAAATTTAATACCAGAAGGGTATACTATGATGGAAGTTTGACATGGCCAGGTTTTCTTTGTGTTTGTCGGCTCAACAAAAACTAAAACCCCAGTAAGAGATCACAGATCTCACAAAGGTGGTTAACTTTCTTAGTCAACTCAGGCTTTCTGTTTCAAACTCTGTGCATGTTTACATAAAAGGAGCCGTTTAATGAGTCACGTGACTCTTCTTCTGCACAAAATGAAACGATCATGTGCAGCTGCTTCAGTCAATAGGTTGTTATGATGAAGAACAATGAGGAATATAAAAATGTATGGCGGTAAAGATGCTGCAACTGCAAATGATGCAAGACAGAAATGCCAGCAGAAAACTGTTAAACGTACCTAATATATAAGGTTACAGCTTATTTCCAACGGACAGCTGCATATTAAAGTTAAACTTTAAACTTAATATATTTAAACCTGATATTGTAAAGAAGTGCATTTAGGTCTGACACTGTCCCACAATGCAGGATCATTTTTGGCCAAATCAAAGCAAGAACAATGTTATTGATTGAATATTCTCTGTAATAAATACCAGTAGAATAATCCATTTTCTAACCTGTGTTCCATCAGTTGCAGTACCAGCAGAGTAAACAGGTTTGACAGCAAATCAGAGCCAAACATAGAAAAGTATTTATGTGATTTCTGCATCGCCAACTGAATACAAATCTGGTTCCCATGGCAACGTGATGCATACAGTGTGCGATACTGTAACTACACGGCTTCATTCAGTGATGTTAGTAATGTACAACTCAGCATATTTGTAGATAAAAACTATTCCCTCAGCTGAGAATCTGTTTTGCTTATAAAAAGTAGTCAGGAAACAATCTGGTTAAAGGGAGACAATCTTTCCAGCCGATTTAAATACGAAACTCTGAACATAACCTGCTCCCGACCAGGTTAGCTCCACAGCATAAGTTACCATGGAGATCTAGCCAGGTAAAAAGACAACCACCTTCGTGATACTGAAAACTCTGACTTTAAGCTCAACATACCTCGCGAGCCCACTAATCTCGCTTCGTAATACAGCCCTCTGGTCTCAGTATCCATCGTTACTTCTGATGTCATGCATCCTTACCTGTACATACGTGCTGCTGACTTGACTCTCACAGAGCAGGTGTGTGCAGCGGCTGGTCAGAATGGGGTCAACAGCACCTCCACATGCCTGGATGACCTGAGGGAGTAGTTTAGTAAACACACATACTGATGTAAATATCTTTTACTATTTTGGCATTGTCGTTGATGCTGTCTCTCTGTTTATTTATCTCAGTCATTTTCAAATGGAAACTTTATGCTTTTGTTGTGACTGAGTAACCTTCTTACCCTCTTCCATGTGGCCAGGAGTTGCTTGTCAGCCATCTGTTCTGGGTAATCAGCAACAGCAAACACACAGCCCAGCAGAAAGCCATCCTGTGGAACTAAGATTAAAACAGGGTTTATGCTCTGTCCGAACTATGGCTTGAGGCTGAAGTCAGTGGAGACCCTTAAAATGCAAAGCCACTCACAGCTGGCAGATGCTGGATCCAAAAAAAAACAAAAAACCCCGAGCTCCCGTTCAAGGATAGTCAGCTTCTCTTTAGGAATATGAATTCAATCATTTTTTACCAAGTCATTACGATCTCAATCTCTAAGTTCAAGACATGTGCCTGGCCATTGCTCTTTCCTTAATGAGAGCTGAAGGCTGTGATTGTCAGCTGGCTTTTAAATAATAAACTGGGACTTTTCTCCAGACATACAGTTCTGTTTTAGAATCAGAATTTACATTTGCAAGACCGTTGCAGGATGGTGTCAGCAAAATTTAATAACGTTGGTACGTGATTATGATAGCTGTTCTGTTAACAAAAAGTCACTACTACTACTACTACTACCTTAGTCTGTATTGGGATAATAAGCTGCAGTTCTGGGTTTCGAACCAGCAACACTTTAAACCAATGGAGAACAATGCACCTCAAACACTCATCTTTATGTCTGTGCTTGGAAGTAATGACTGTCCAGGTTGTATCAGAAACACCCTTCAAGCTGGGGTCCTAACTTTCCTTTTCTTTGTATGACACATGGCTTTTCATTCAATCTTCCAGTATGGCTGTTTGGAATGACTACAATCACATTTGATTAAAGGGAGACTAATCATTAATTAGGGTTAATAATTTAACTGAAAAAATATTTTTAAAATATATTAACCAATACGGTAGAGGACGAGGGACACGCACATCAGAAAATGTATGTTTAGAGTTGCCGTAGGACCTGATTGCGCCACCAGGAGCTGCCTCTAACTGTTAAATGAGAAGGAGTTACAGGTGGATTTGCTGACGGTCAGTATGGGTCCCATAAGATGAGTGCACTTCCCTGCTATCTACCTGCAAAGTGTGTGTGTGGCAGTCGCGTTGAAGAACTCAACAGCATAAGGTGTCTGATTTTGGCGAGCCACCGAAAGGTCATGCCACTACTAAGCAAGGATCTTTAAAACACTGTCACAGGCTGTGAGCTGAGTCTCTGTCAGCAGAGAGCAGCTGTAGTTGCTCAGGATGTTAATGATTATTTGTTAATCGATTATTTGCCGGTAGTAATTTAAGCAATTATATAACTGATAAGGTAGAAGACGCTGGGTAATCGCATTGGAAAATGTACTGTCCATTAGCCATAGTATGTGGCTGCCCCACCAGGTGGGCACTCCATTTAATGAGATGAAAGACTGCAGCTCATTTATGTTTAATACTGTAGAACCCTAGCTATCCTGTCCTATGCCTGAAAGTGAGACATTTAGGGGCTGTTGGTCAATTGATAAGCAGTGGTTAAATAAATGTAGTTTCTTGCCTTGGGTCCAGTTTATAAACTCAGGGCAGGCCAGATTGATTAATACCATGCTGTAACAAAAGCAAAAGATGCAGGGAGTTGTGTTGTGACCAAATCACAAGCTGGTGTGACTAACTGAGAAGGTTAGTAGCACCGCTGCTACTAGTGGAAAAGTCTGAAGCCTGTACATTCAAACTAAAGTGATGAAGTGTGTCAGCAACACTCTGTTCTGAGCATTAATGCATTATGGAGGTGGCAGAACACACAAATTACAAATTTCCTGGACTGATAAAGTTGCTGTGACAGTATTTATGGACATCTGTTCGAGGTGAGCGGCTGTTTTTAGCAGCTAGACTAACACAACCTACAGTGAACAAGTCACTCCATCATGTAGATCAGCTATGAGGATTATTACCTCCGCCAAGGAGGTTATGTTTAAGCTGGCGTTTATCTGTTTGTTTGTTTTTTGGTTTGTTTGTTTGTTTGTTAGCGAGATAACTTGAAAGCTATGAACGGTTTTTCATGAAATTTTCGGGAAATGTTGATAATGGCACAATGAACAGATAATTAAATATTAGTGATGTTCTGGCGTACCATCTGGTTATTTTCTCATAAAACAGTAAATGCTGCTATGCGTCACAGTCGCATTTGTCCACTAGAGGGTCTGACTTCATTCAGTCCTTCAGTCCTCACCACTGTCTTCTCCGTAGTACAGGAGTAAGCTACAGCCAGGCAGCATGACAGGAGTGGGCTGAGCGGAGCTACTGACAGATAAGTCCATAACGACATTGGGACATTAACAATGACTCAACATATCTCCTGCAAATTACAAAGGCTGCAATTTCGGATAATCAATACGCAATATGTCAGACGCAGGGTTTAAACTGTTCTATTCAATGGCTTTACAAATTCGTCTCCAGAGTCTGTCTGTGTTCTCTGTGTCACACTTTGGATGTGGTAGTCCTTCGATCACATTTTAAATAATTTACATATTGACTATTAGACCTATGCTTAACTTTAAAAAAAATAATAAACATAGTCAGGAGAATTGCATTAAATATTTTTTCCAAATCGTTCAGCTCCAGCCCTAATCAGAAACTCTGGAGTTCTACAGAGCTTTTGTGTTCTTCTGAGATAGTGGTAATAGTGGTCAGTTGAACCCTTTGATCCAGGCCGATTACATGTTTCACAATAGGTCCATGAATTAAACCAACATAAAGCATTACAGCCTAAAGTGAGCCTCTGAATTTCCACTCCGATTCTGGTTGTTACTCACTTTCTTGCCCCAGCTCGTGTCCAAACAGCTGGGAGATGTGCGGAGGCTGCTGGAGCTGAGGCTGCAGTGTCGTCGTCGTTGTCTGCTGCTGCTGCTGTTGCTGCTGCTGCTGCTGTTGTTGTTGTTGTTGTTGTTGCTGCTGCTGCTGCTGATGTTGATGCTGCTGCTGCAGGGCTTGCTGATTCTGATGCTGAAGAACCTGCTGCTGCTGTTGATTCTGCATGTGCTGCTTCTGCATCTGCTGCATGTGTTGCTGTTGTTGCAGGAAATGCTGCTGCTGTAAGTGCTGTTGGTGCATCTGCTGTTGATTCTGCTGTTGCTGTTGTTGTTGTTGTTGTTGTTGTTGTTGTTGTAACATCTGCATGCGTTGCTGCTGCTGAAACTGCTGAAGCTGCTGCTGCAAAGCCTGTTGTTGCTGCAGTTGCTGTAGACCTGGCCGTAAGAGCTGCTGGGGCCGCAACTGCTGCTGGGAGAACGCATGCTGTTGTTGTTGTTGCTGTTGCTGCTGCTGTTGCTGTTGTTGTTGTTGTTGTTGTTGTTGCTGCTGCTGCTGCTGCTGGGAAAACATCTGTTGTTGGTGCATTTGCTGCTGTTGCTGCAGAAACTGTTGCTGCTGTTGAGGCAATTGTGGGAACCCTTGTTGTTGTTGTGCCCCCTGTGACTGTTGTTGTTGATGTTGTAAGTGCATCATCTGATGCTGCTGCTGCTGCTGCTGAAGCTGCATCATGGGATGCTGTGGTTGCTGTGGTAATTGTTGATGTTGTTGCTGGGAAACCTGGTGTTGCTGTTGCAGTAACTGTTGCTGCTGCTCCGCTGTGAGAGGCTGGTTGGCCAGTTTGGACTGATTAAACAGAAGAGAGTTGGTACTGTTGGGGGTCTGAGCATGGCTCTGATTGGTCTGTTGCTCAAGTGGCTTTGTCTGATTGGCTGTCAGATTCTGGATAATCTGCAACAGAGGACAACAAAGAAAACAAGTTTAAACTTAAGAGAAAGTACTAACATATGGTGCGGTGCACTTGTGAGAAATGCAGTTAAGTGAAGATGATTTTTAAAAGAATGATTAGCCTCTTACGCTTGGCCACCACATCTGAAAACACGTCTGATGTGAAATTTCTGCTTGCGAGTGACCGAGCTGATGCGAAGTGACCACCTTATATCATATTGCTAACTCTTTTCATGGTGCAAGATTTTACATAAATCTCTTTCAGTAAACTGACATTTTTCAGCTGGCTGTCCCTCTGCTATTTTTGTTCTCCTGCACAGCTTTTTCTGTTTCACTTTGTGATTTTGGTTTGACCATCCTGTTATGCTGTTGTTCCTTTGAAGCTGGTTGGTGCAATAGTTTAAATATGCACTACATGCAGACACTATTAAACTCAACAAAGAACACAAGTACTTGTCAGACACCGAAGTGGTAAAAACAGGTCATGATTTTAACAGTTGTATTGAGTGGGACATAAAAGTTATTTTGTTGACCTTAAAGAGTGGAACAGTTTCAGCTACACAGCAGCACATGAACAAAATTTGTACGTGTATTCTCATCTGATGATGATGATGATGATGATGATGATGTAAAGCCTGTGTACTAGTTATTAAACAGCAGTTGTGGGGAAAAAATATCACTTCAAAAAAGAAAATAATATTTTCAGGTAGAGAACATGAGGATGCAGCAATAGCTATTTTAGCATGTCAGTGGACACTAAATAAACTGGAAATGGAATGATGTATGGGCGAGCACAGATGCACATCCCTCCTGATGTCCTGTCTGCCCAATCAGAACCACGTGCGAGTGGGATATCTGTCATGCCAAATGATAATGGAATGATTCCCAATTTAAAAGCAAAATCATAATTAAGCTGGGTTATAAAAGCTCTGACTTTTAATGCAGGCATGTCATCTGAACATTTTATTCTGCAAAATATTTCTGAATCTAAAGTGTGAATGCCCAGAAGGTGTGAGCAGAAAGCAGCTGTTTGGCTTAAACAAGAAAAACCACTGAAATGGCATTGTGTTGTTTTGGTATTTTCTTCAACAGCGTTCACATATCTCGCAACAATATCTAATAATACAGCCAAAGTAATGTTTGAAAATCTAAAATATGATATTTTCTACTGACATAATAAAGAAAAGAAAAAAGTATCTAGGACAAATGTTTTGTGAAACAAGTGCATAAAAGCTTGATGGCATCTGTGTTTGATCTTCAGTCACATTAAAATGACATATTGAGACATGGTGGCGGTCAGTTAGAGCTGACAGAGAAAACTGAGCCAAAATACTGCAACTTTGAATGTATAGACAACCGTTGGAACTTCTTACATGTGCTACGTTGGTAGGCCGATTGGTTGGCTGCATGTCAGAGTTGTTGGTGATGTTGCGAAGCGTTCTGGCGGCCGGGCTCCACCCAGGGACGCCCTCTGGAACTGACACACCTAAAGAGCAGAAAGAGGTGAAATCTTTATCAAGAGAACAATGGTTCGAAAGCAAGTAACATGTGTCAGATAGATATGATCCCAGTATTAACAGCAAATAGCAATCATCCATCCTCAAAACTAAGATTAAGTGCATAGAAAATCTTTGTTGCTTCACAATCTTACTGTGAAGATCTGGCCCTCTTAAAAAATATAACGTATACG